CGTAGTAGTAGTAGTAGTTAGTAGCAGTAGTAGTAGTAGTAGTAGTAGTAGTAGTAGTAGTAGTAGTAGTAGTCGTAGTCGTAGTCGTAGTAGTAGTAGTAGTAGTAGTAGTAGTAGTAGTAGTAGTAGTACTCGTGGTAGTAGTAGTAGTAGTAGTAGTAGTAGTAGTAGTAGTAGTGGTAGTAGTAGTAATAGTATTAGTAGTAGTAGTAGAAGTAGTAGTCGTAGTCGTAGTAGTAGAGGTAATAATAGTAGTAGTAGTAATCGTAGTAGTAGCAGTAGCAGTAGTAGTAGTAGTAGTAGTAGTAGTAGTAGTAGTAGTAGTAGTAGTAATAGAAGTCGTAGTAGTAGTAGTAGTAGTAGTCGTAGTCGTAGTCGTAGTCGTAGCTGTAGTCGTAGTCGTAGTCGTAGTCGTAGTCGTAGTAGTAGTAGTAGTAGTAGTAGTAGTAGTAGTAGTAGTAGTAGTAGTAGTAGTAGTAGTAGTAGTAGTAGTAGTAGTAGTATAGTATAGTAGTATAGTCGTAGAGGTAGTAGTCGTAGTGGTGGTAGTAGTAGTAGTAGTCGTCGTCGTCGTCGTCGTCGTCGTCGTCGTCGTCGTCGTCGTCGTCGTCATCGTCGACGTCGTCGTCGTAGTAGTAATAGTAGTAGTGGTAGTAGTATAGGAGGAGGAGGAGGAGGAGGAGCAGGAGGAGGAGGGGGAGGAGGAGGAGGAGGAGGAGGAGGAGGAGGAGGAGGAGGAGGAGGAGGAGGAGCCGTGGGACGCCGTGTCCCGCCCTACGCCTACGAGGAGGCCCCACCACCCGCGGCCCGCCCCGAGGGCCTCGAGGCCGTCCCAGCGAAGGCTCTCTGTGCCCACGCGACAGCCTTGGGGGCTCCTTGGGGGCACGGGTGGCGGCCTCTCGAAATTCGGGAAGGTTCTCTTTACCCTTCCTCGTGAGCTGGCAAACCTGATTGAAATGGCGGAAATCCGTGGACGCCGTTTTGCCACAAACGGAGCAGAACAACAGAGAAAACTCAAACCATTTGTGCATCACGTGCGACTCATGGATCTGCACCTTGCCAGAAAAAATCGGGCCCTGGACCGCCGACGCGCCCGAGGGAAAAGTGCCCCCTCCAGGGGGTGTTCGCGGCCTCCAGGACCTGGGCCGAGGGAGCGATTCGGCGGCACGACGTGCAAGCCCATCGCCCATGGATCCGGGTCTACGAGTGGGGGTTCCGTGCAAGGGCGCGCGGGAGGCGAGACTGAGCAGGAGGGCGGACGCGCTCGACACGCTTCGAATTTCACGGATCCAGGGAAATCGATTCCGTCAGCGCTCGACGGGCCCGACGCCTCACGAGCGCCGCAACCGCATCCCACTCGTCGGTGCGAGGCGCATCGCCGATCATGCATCGGCTCGACCGCGCATCCGCAGCCCCGGCCCCTTATCAGCACATATATTTCCAGCAGCAACATACTGGAGGCCCTCCTTCACAATCCGCTCAGGGTCCTCATCCAGGCGACTCGGGACCCAAACAACCTCAATGTCACTGCTACTGCTACCTCGCTTGATCAACGCCTGCTTCAAGCGGGCCCAGAGATCTCCATTACTGCCTATACACGAGGTGTGACGGCAAGCGCTCCAACCGTCCAACAGAGACCTGCAAGCAGCGTGAAAACGCATTTTTCCTGTCGAGCTCTCGAGGCGCAGGACAAGAGCGAGCAGCTCAGCCCTGGGCGCAGTTTGCCTGCGCCCGCGGAGCCCGCCAGAGACGATGGCGGCAGGCGACCGCGACTCACCATCAGGCCGAAGTGCGACCGCAGCAGCCCCGATGCGGCGCCGCCGAGGATCGGCGGTGCGCGGGCCGCCCGAGCCATCGCCGGACACGTCGAGCACCTCCTCGCCCTCGACCCTGCAGCTGTCGAAGGGCTCGCCCTGGTGCTCGACCCAGTCCGCCTGGCACTCGTCGAAGATGGGCGTGGTGAGGTAGGAGTGACAAATGCCCCTCAACCGCAGGGCGGGGTCTTGCTCCCAGCCCGCCCTCGCACGCACAATCAAACATTCACTGGCGTCAAAATCTGCATGGCCCGTGTTGCGCGGGCAGCTCCTCGAATTCGAAGAAATAACGTTTTATTCTCGGTGCCGCAACGTTGGCGCGTCACCTCTGAATCGTAACCTGCCTGCTGCTGGCGCTCCCTCGTCCACTGGCCGCCGCTGACGACGACGACCGTCTGCGCCCACTGGTCGAGCGCCCCCGCGGCCATGAAGCGCCTCAGCTCCCCGCTGCACGTGCATCGTGTCGGCGCCGTTGCAGAGGCTGTCGCCTGCGGGGCGCAAAGCAGCCCTCTGCCACATGCGCCCCGCGAAGTCCGCCATGAGGTCGTCCAAGAGCTCGGGCGCGTCGGCGACGGCGTAGCACTCCGCGTCGGGGCCAGGGATGATCCACTCGTCGACTGCGTTGGGCCCAGTCGGGCGGACCCACCGCTTGGGCGACTCGGGCCGCTACTCGGCGCCCAGGAGCACCGCGATCACAGCAGCAGCTGGCCCGCGGACACGCCGCCAGCGACGCGGCCCTGCCTGAGACAGGGCCTTGAGCAGACGGGGCCAGGCGCGACGTACTCGACCGTGGACCTCAGGCCGCGCGCGCCAGAGCTCGAGCCACTGGCTGACGACCTGCCTCCGAAGCTCCAGCCCTGGGTCGCGCTGCCCATGCAAGGCCGCCAAGGTCGACGTGGGGCACCTGCCAGGCCCCTCGCCGACAGCTGAGGCAGCGGTACCTCGGCGCATTGCCGGAGGCGAGGAGGGCGCGAGGCCAGCGACCTGGTGGCCGTGCGCCGCCTGAGGTTGCGCCCCCGTCGTCCACAGCATCTTCGTGATCTTGGCCATGCGGACCTCCCTACGCATGCGGGGGATCCTGCCTCGCCGACCCCTGGCGGCCTGGAAGCGCCTCTGGGCGCGCTTCTTGCGCCGACGGCGCCCGCAGGTCGTGTCGACGCCGAGGTCCACCGCGCGCGCCGCGTAGGAGGCGGGCGCGCCAAGCCGCGCCAGGCCGCCAGCGATGGACCGCCCCAGCGGGGGGTGCGAGCACGCCAGCACAGTCTTGGTGGAGACCTCGAAGCCAGCCTCGTCGAGCCCCTGCTTGAGCGCAACCGTGGCCTGGTAAATGTCGGCCTTGACTGACTGCTTCGTGCCAACTGAACGGATGACCGTGTCGTCGATGAACGCCCACAGCTGCGCGCGCTCACACGCACGGCGCGCGCGAGCAATCATGGGCCCTAGCATGACCTTGGCCAGCTTCCCGCCGCTGGCTGAGCCCGCCACAACTGACCGCTCGGGCTGCAGTCGGCGCCCGAGCCAGGCACGCTGGCGCAAGTGGCGGGGCCCTGCATGCAGCTGCACCTCCATCGCGGCTACGATCGCGGGAACCCCCTGCTGCGTAGCAGCCGCGAGCAGGCGCACGAAGGAAACTCGATCGTCGAACTTCTTGGTGTCGAGAAGGAGGGTCGCGGTGAACCACCCATTCCCCACGTCGCACTCGTCAATGCAGGCACGGCGCACCGCGGCCCGCAGAGCGGACGATCCGCGCACCGCGGTGTCCCACCACTCGGCCTGGCCGTCGCCCCACTCGTCGGTAGCAGCAGCTCGTACCTTCGCCCATGCCTTGCAGGTGGTCGGCAGCATGCCGACGATGCGGCCACCTCCATCACGCTTGGGGACGGCGGCTCCAATGACCGCCGACAGCTGTCACGGCCAAACCCAGCGGCCTCGCGCTCGTTGAGGAGCGAAGCGAGGCCGTCGAAGCCGCCCTCGGGCATGCGCCGCAGGTCAGCGGGGCTCACGTTGTCGACGCCGCGCGCCCTGCCCGAGCTCATGCGGCGCATGGCCGCGCGCACCTGGTCGGGCGTGATCGGGCCCCGGCCATCGTCAGCAGCACGTCGGAGAGTGTCGTTGAGGGCCTCGACAAGGTCGGCATCGTCGTACGTCGGGTCCTTCCATACCCGCTCCCAGAACAAGGGCTTCTGCTCCAGGATGATGTCGGGCTGGGCGATGGACCTCTGGACCTCGCCGCGACGTCCCCGTCGGCGTCCCTGACAAGGCCGTAGGTCTCCAGCTGCTCGGCCGCGGGCTCCTTGACATGTCGGAGGGCAATGCCTGGCCTCCGCTGCCACGCCTCGCTGGCCCAACGGACGTGCCCAAGGCGGGCGCGGTGAAGGCTGCGGCCGAGGAGGCGGTGGCACCACTGCTCAGCGCAAGCAATCAGCCTCTGCACATCATCCAAGCTCGGCGTTTCTTCCTGCAAGAAAATGTCAGCACGAGGGCGCCAGACAAGCGCATCCTCCTGCAAGGACTGGCCGAAATACACATGATGATCGTTCTTTCCCTCCCGAGCTCGTAACAAGGGGGCGGTTCGTGCAACGCGCGCGCGCTGCTGCGGAGGGTCGGGCCCGCTTGTCAGCAGCGCGACGAGGCGGACCAACAAGGTGCTCAGCGTGTGCCAACCCTCCAGCACGGGGTCCAGCAGGTGGGCGCGGCCAGGGGTGCTCTTCATCTTGCGCTCCTCGATGCGATAGCCCTGACCACGCACTCGCATGGTGTCAGCACTGCGACCTGCAACCTGCTCCGTCTGAATCAGCGCCTCCCCGAGGGTGCCGACCCACTGCGCGTGCATCTGCGAGACGTGGTCGGTGGAGAGCGGCACTCGCGCGAACAGGAAATTGCCCTGGTCGGCGGGCCGCTGGCTGCTTGGCTTCCGAGCCTGCAAGGCGGCGGCGCACCTGGACCACGTCTCAGAATTCATTCGGTATTCAATATCAGCTGGCGCGCCGCCATCTCGACCGAGAGCCTCGGTGGCCGGCGGCAGGGCCAACTTCACCTCCGTCACTGGGCTGCTCCTAGGGACTGGGTCGTGCTCAGGAGGCTCCACGAAGCCATCGTCGTACTCGTCTGCCAGCGCGCCCATGGGACCCACGTCGTCATCCATGGACGTGCGCCGAACCGCCACAGGGGCGCCTGCCGCGGAGAGCGCATCTCCGCAGCACTGGTCAGCACTCCAGGTGCCGCCTCCAGCGCTGCGCCACCTTCCAGTCCACGGAGCCGTGTAGTCGGGCAGCGGGAAGGTGGCGTGCCCGAGGTCGTCTGCCACAGCTGGCCCGCCAGGCTCGTCGTCCCCCGCTAGGAGCGTGTCGTGGGAATCCCGCAGTTCCTCTGGCAGCGCCTCGCGGCGCTTGCTGGCCTACGTTGCAAGCTCGTGCTGCCTTCGGCGGGCAGCGGAGGGACAGCGCAGAGGGCAGCACCAGCGCCTGGTGGTACCATCGGCGGTTGCTGGATGTGAGCTCGATGACAAGCCCGCAGCGCGTGCGCCGCGGCACGTTGGGCTCCGCCACCACCTTGACGTGCTCAGCGTGCCCCGACGAGGCGAGCGCGTAGTCGCACAGCTTGCCCTTGCCTCTGTCGCAGGTGGTGCGGGCGTTCCCTGGCGCAATGACGGCGGCGCCGAGCCGCTGCAACCATTCCGTCTCGCCCCAGTCGGTCGGCTCCACGTTCCAGTCGCCAGCGATCACGAAGGGTTCCTCCACGAGCGAAAGGAAGGCCGCCAAGGAGGCGAGCCGCTGCTGGCTGGCTCCGCGAAACCGAAGCCCAGGCACCAGATACGCCACCACCACGAGGACGTTGCCTTGCAGCAGGCGCCGCACCGTCGGGACACAACCGAAGAAGGGGGGCGGGCGACCAGCCGCTTGGCACGCGCGTCGGTGCCCCTCGAAGGTAGTGGCGGCCAACGTCTTCTTGATCGCAAACACCTCGCCGCCTGCGACGCCGTCCAGGGGCTGACCTGAAGGAGTGCCAGGCGTGACTGCGACCTTCCAGTTGCCCTTCTGGAGGTCGAGTTGCTGCTTCTCGGCGGCAGCGGGTGACGCATGGGTCTCGCAGAAGCCCGCGACGTCGAAGCCCGGTCCGTGTCCCTCCAGGGACCTGCTGGCAGTCGGGCCGTACTGGGTGATATTCCCGAAGAACATCCTGGCCTTAGTGCGGGCTGGTCCCGTTCCTGACGTTACGCCGTAGTCGTTATGCAGCCGCTGCTTTGTCGCGAAGCCGCTGCGCGGTGCCGGCACAACCTCCAGCTGGTGCCGCTCCCGCGGCGACGTCCGCTGGCAGGCCCCCAGGCTGCCCTCCATCAGAGGCCGCGGGGGGCTGGCCTCCAGGAGGGGCGGCCGGAGGATTGCCAGGGGCAGCCCCAGCAGCCTGCGCAGGAGGCGCGGCGGGCAGAGCAGCGGTGAGCTTCTGCAGCGCCTCCTTGGTCTGCTGCGCCACGGCGCCCACTGTGTGGGGCGGATTGTTGCCCGCCGCCGCCTGGGCCAACTGGTCCTCGTAGGTTGCCGCGAGCTGGTTGACGAGGCCTGCCGGCTTCCCGAGGTCGCCCCACGTCGACGCCGAGACAGGGGGTCCCGCCTGGTCTCCAGCAGCGGTATCTGCGGCGGCGTCCTGCTTGGCCTGCCCCAGGTCGCCTCGAGCCGCGACGAGCTGCGCCTCGGCCGCCTCGAGCTCATCAGCCGCCTCTTGAGCAGCCTGCTGCGCCCGCTCGAGGCGCTGGGTCGCCTGGAGGACCACGCGCTGGGCCTTGACCACGGGCTGCGGAAGGTCCTTGCCGCGGGGGCCCTCCATGCCAGCCGCGCGACGTCGGCGCCGATGCACGATCCTGTCGCGCAAGGACTGGCCCAGGACGGACGCGAGCTGCGCGAACTTCTCGTCCTCCATGCCAACCCAGCAATCCAGCTGCTGGTCGTCGAGCACGGCGGCCGCCGGCGGGGCGGCGGGCTGGCGGCCGCCGCCTGGCCCACGCGGCTGCGACGGGCCATCGCGCCAAGGCGGCGCGGCGGCCTTGCCGGGGCCCCATGGGCCCATGCCCCGCGAGGGGCGCCGCGGCGCCCAGGCCCTGGGCCTCCGCTGAACCCTGGGCGCCCTGGATTGGGGGCGCTGCAATGGTAGCACTTCGCCTTGGCCCCGCGGTTCCAGGCACCTGCAGCAGGGGCGGCATCCCCAGCCCGCCATGGTGCTGTCGTGTCGGCGATGGACCGCCAGTGGGCCCCTGCAGTACTGGCAAAGGAATGTCGGGCTCCAAGAGCCCTAGCTCTGCCGCGGAATAGCGGTGTCCGCGTCTGCCAATGCGGGCTCAGCCCGCCAAGCATTAGCCTTGAGCCAAAATGGCTACGGAGGAGGAGGAGGAGGCGGAGGAGGAGGAGGAGGAGGAGGAGGGGGAGGGGGAGGGGGGGGGGAGGGGGAGGAGGACAAGTTAGGTGCGCTCGCGTCAACATCTGACATCCTACCCCTCCCTCCCATCCCTTACCATGGCGCTGATTTTCTCTATCCGCGGACGCGTGTCGTAGCGGACCTGTGGCTCCGCGCGCGTGTGCGTAGTGGGTGGTGGTGCGCGTGCGTGCGTGCGTGTGTGCGTGGTGGTGGTTGTTGTCGTGGTGGTGTGTATGTGTATGTGTGTGTGTGTGTGTGCGTGTGTGCGCGTGTGCTGTGGTGTGGCGTCTTGGTGGTTTGGTGGTGGGCCAGGTGCGTGCGTGGTGGTGGCGGTGGTGGTGGTGTGTGAGTGTGTCTGTGTGTGTGCGTCGGTGCGTGTGTGTGTGTGTGTGTGCGTGTGTGTATGTGTGTGTGTGTGTGTGTGTGTGTTTGTGTTTGTGTGCGTGCGTGCGTGCGTGCGTGCGTGTGTGTCTGTGTGCGCGCGTGTGATGTGGTGTGGCGCAGTGTAGCGTGGTGGTGGTGGGTGGGGTCGTGCGGTGGTGGTGGCGGTGCGCGGTGGTGGTGCGCGTGCGCGCGTGCGTGCGTTGGTGGGTGGAAGTGGCGGTGGGTGCGCGTGCGGCGGGGCGGGGCGTGGTGCGGCGCGGTGGTGGCGGGCGGATGGGCGCGCGAGAAAGAGGCCCGCGCTGGGGCGAGAACGCCATCCTGGACGACGGAGGCAAAACACCGATCCGAAAATGAGGCCCATGAAGCAGCGGGAGCAAGATTCGAAACGATTCGGGAGCAGAAATGAGGCCAGCGCCTCAGCGAGAGCAGCATTTTGGGGAAAAAAACGCAGGCGACAACCCAACTCCCGGGAATCCTGCGTGCAAAAAAAATACGCGGGGGGGGGGGGGGGGGGCGAATATTTTCAGGCCGCCTTCGGGGGAAGAGGGAGAGTAGCGTTCATATTGAGTAGTTGTGGAGGGGGAGGAGGAGGAGGAGGAGAGGAGGGAGGGAGGAGACGAGGAGGAGGAGGAGGAGGCGGAGGAGGAGGAGGAGGTGGAGGAGGAGGAGGAGGAAGAGGAGGAGGAAGAGGGGAATGAGGAGGAGGAGGAAGAGGGGGAGGAGGAGGAGGGGGAGGGAGAGTAAGAAGAAGAGGATGACGGGAAGAGGAGGAGGTGGTGGAGGGGAGGAGGAGTAAGAATACGAGGAGGAGGAATATGCGGAGGAGGGTAACATGATGAGGAACATGATGTTCGTGATGGCGATGATGATGGCGAGTGTGATGATAATGATGATCATGGTGTTGATGATGCGGTTGGTGAGGATGACGATGGCGATGACGATGATGATGCTGATGGTGATGATAACGCTGATGGTGACGATGATGATGACGATGCTGATCATCATGATGATGGGCACGACCATGATGGGGATGATGCTTATGATGGTGACGACGGCGAGGAGGATGAGGAGGACGAGGAGGAGGAGGAGGAGGGGAATGAACACAAACACGAGGAGGGGGAGGAGGAGGAAGAGGAGGCGGAGGGGGGTAAGTCATGTGCCCATGGCTTTTGTGCCGTAGTGCGCCACCGCACTCGGGGGCGCGCGCACCTGTGGCCGCGACCACCCCGCGGGCACACTTCGGCACGTACAAGTCTGGGCCAATGGCACGGTCAATCGCGCGCGTGGCTGCCAGGGCGTCTGCGAGTTCTTGCCACGAATGAGCCACAATGAACCTGTCGTCGAGGTAGGAGAAGAGCGTCGCCGTGGGCACCGCCCGCTCCACTGCCAAGTGCCACATGATTGAAGTTAAGTTGCACAGAAAGCACGCGATAGGACAGCCCTGCGGTACGCCGACGAGGTTGTCGCCCTGCAGCGCGGCGTCCGTTGGCTGGTAATCAACGAACAGAATACGGGCTAGGTTCTGGTAGTTCCGCAGGACGTGCCCGCAGATGTCCAAGCCCAGGTGGTTGGTCAGCTCCAGCAGGTTGTGCAAGTCCAGCCGGTCGTAACACTTCTCGAGGTCCAGGGACAACACGTAAGCTGGGTCGGTCTGCGCCACGCGCGCCTGCGCCAACTTTGCTTGCAACTCCCATAATACGTCTGGACACGAATGTCGAGGCACTGCTCCTGCCAAGCCGGCTGGTGTCCACTCCAGCAGCCATTGTGTCAGCTGGGCAGTATGGCGTCGCGTCCACAATCAGTAAGTAACGGGTAAGACAGTGAGCGGCCGACGGTCGCCTGGGGGCGACTCGTTCTTTCGGGATAAGAGTGACCCGAGCCTGTGTCCAGAAGCCAGGCAGCCTGCCCGCGTCCGCCGCGGTCAGGAGCAGGGCGAGGCGGTCCAGGGAGTTCTTGTGCAGGTTCCCCAGCCAAGCCACAGAGTGGCCCTCGATGCCGCTCGCGCCGTCGGGCAGAAACTCCAGGATGTGTTCGGCACACCAAGGCCCGAGCGGGCGATATGCCGGCACAGATGGCAGCAACGACAAATCGAATCGCTGGCGCCCAAGGCGTGCAGGAGGGGCCTGGCGTTCACGAGGAAGACCAGGGTCAAGGCGAACACGGTGAAAATCAACTCGAAGTCTTGGTAGGCGTGTAATCTGGAAGACGCCGGCGTTCAACCGCCTGGCGAGCCCCCCGCTGAGTTTCCGGGCGAGCTCGCGTGGAGACATGACCTCGGCGCCGAAGGCGGGCAGGATAACTTCGCAGAGCGTGTCCAGCCTGTGCTCCCCCCACTTGGCCGCGCCACCTCGCGTGCCCACCCGTTGTCGTCAATTTTTGAGTCTCATGCTGTTCGCGTCGTCGATGATGGACGTGATCATGCCCAACGTGTTGTCGGCCTCGTCGGGCCGCCCGTCGTGGAGCTGGCGCCGGAAGGTCCCCCATAGACCGTGGAGCTCTCGAGCTCGCGCCCCGGCACACCATCCGCCTCCGTCGGCCTGACGTAGCACGCGGGCCTCCGGAGCACCAGCCGCGTCGGCCCAGATAGCCCACGCCTGATCGATGTCGGACGGGAGCGCGTCTGCAAACTCGTCCTTGGCAGTAGTAGTCCAAGCGTCCATGCGCATAGGCTCGGAGACGGCCCACCGGAGGCTCTCGCGAAACTCAGGAGGTAAAGCCGCTTCCACCAACACAGAGCGATGTTGTGAATACTCGACAGGATCCAAAGCTGTAGCTGTGGCTGCAGCCGCAAGCGCGGTAGCGAATTCCGCTCCATCGATGGTGGTCAGCCACTCCCCTACATGTGGGTTGCGGCGGAATGTAGGCTCCGTAGGAAAAATCGCCACCCGCTCCTCCCCGGCGTAGTGGACCGGGCGCTCGTTGAAGTCGCCCGCGTCGATGGTGAGACGGGCAGGCTCGGTGAGGAGGCTGGCGTTGAACCTGCTACGCTCCGAAGCGGAGCCCGAATGGGCGTGCCGGTGCCGCACCAACACGCGCCTCTCGCCCAGCTGCAAAGCCAGTCGTTGCACACGGAAGTCAGTGTCATTCTGAGTGGCCGCGATGGGCGGTACATTTAGGCCGTCTCGGACAATAGTGCACATACCATGGCAACCAATGTGAACATGATACCCCAAAGTATGCAGATCAGCTCGCAAGATGCGCCGCTGTCCATTGGGAAGGGCGCATTCTTGAAGAAAGCAGAGGTGAGGAAGATGCTGTGCCAAAAGCCGCAAGAGCCCGACACGCCTTTTGGAATAGCTTCCCATGTTGAATGTGAGAAGCTTGAGGTCGTTTTTGACCTCAGCATTGGAGTCGCCCTCGCCGCATGCTGGCCAGCAGAGCGCGACGTTCGCGAAGGCGCTGGCGGCTGTGCTCGCGCATCTGGGTCGTAGCCGAGGTCAGGGCATCCCGTGCTCGAGCGGCCCGGGCAGCCTGAGACAGAGGTGTGGCTTCAGCCAAAGCCGCCTCCGACGCTCCACAACATATGAGACAGTGATCCCCGGCAGTGGGGAGGAAGGAGGAGAGCCGTTTGGCGGTGCATTCGCATACAGAACACTCCACCTCCTCGCCCGTGACGACCGGCTTGCGCGCCCAGGCCGGCAGCGCCTCGGCGGCGATGCGAACGCGCTCGATGTAGTCCTTGCGTCTCGAGGCCGCGCGGCGGCCCACGAAATCAGCAGAATGGAGGCGCCGGAACTTGTTCTCATGAGTTCCGGACCCCGAGGGCCGCCCGGCTGCTAAAATGTCGCGCCCAGGCTGGCCGTGACTCAATTGATGGGCCCGACATGGGTATTCTCCACTTGTAAACTCAGCTGGAAGACGAAAGTCACATAGTGGACACGCCCAGTTAGCCCAGGCGCTGCCAAAGGTCTGCACGCCGAGGTCCGAAGCCCGTGCTGCAGCAGCGGCGAGGGCAGCCGCGCGGCGGGCGCGCGGGTTATACAGCAGCACGTTGGCCAGGGCCGTGCTGCGCTCCTCAGACGAGGGAGGGCTTGCACAGCTCAGGCACGCAGCATTTTGGCAAAACCTGGCAGGTGTAGACATCGAAGTCGGTCTCGAAGCACTCCGCGAACAGCGTGTGCACCGGATGCCGCGGGGGTGTAGTTCAGGAGAACAAAGCCACGGAATTGCAGTGGCGGCGGCTCGGAAACGGGCGGCG